TGTAGAGATGAGGTCTCGCCAAGTTGCCCAGGCGGGTCTTGAACCCGCGGGCTCAGGCGATCCACTCACCTCAGCCTCCCACGGCTCACCTCAGCCTCCCACGGCGCAGGATTACAGGCTGAGCCACCAAGCCTGGTGGAGCCTAAAATTTTTGTATCCTCATTTCCCTGTTCCCAAAACCCAGAATCTCACTGCATGTCTTCTCATGTCTTTTCCTTCTTTCTCCTTCACCCCTAAACTCTGCAAGCCCATCTTCCTCTCTTTCCTCTCTCATGTCCTGCACCCCAAATTGTTTCTTCAATGGGCAAACCTAGGCACCTCCTTATTAACAAGCCTGCACCTTTTATCAACTGCTTCTGTCTGCATTCCCCTCCAGCACCTGGCTGATTAAACACAAGCATCTTCCCTGAGACTCTCCCATCTTTTATCCAGCATTCATTCAACAGTCATGTTTTGGGCAGCATCTACATGCCAGGCGTTATTTCTGATGATAGAGATGCAACTGGAATTAGATCAAACATGAATCCTGTCTTCGTGAAGTTCAGAACAGAGCCGGGCTCGGTGGCTCAGCCTGTAATCCCGCGCTTTGGGAGGCTGAGATGAGTGGATTGCCTGAGCCCGCGGGTTCGAGACCCACCTGGGCAGTTTGGCGAGCCCTCGATCTACAATAAATCAAAAAATCAGCCGGACGTGGTAGCGCGCGCCTGTAGTTCCAGCTACTCGGAAGGCGGAGGCGGAAGGATCCCTGGAGCCCAGCAGGTCGAGGCTGCGGTGGCCGGGAGCGGCCACAGCACTCCAGTCTGGGCGACAGAGGGAGACTCCAACTCAAAAAAATAATAATAATAAGAGACGCTCTTAGATGGTGACAAGTGGTCCAGGGAAAGGTGAAGCCGGGAAGTACTATTGAGAATGTGGGGTGAGGATTGCGATGCACATTAGGGTAACCAGAGAAGAACTCTCTGAGAGGGTGGCACCGAGCGGAAACCTAAAAGAGGCTCTGTTTCCAGGGAGCAGAGTCCGAGACTGAGGTGAACACGGAGGATGTTGATTTGGGAGTACTCTCGGGATCAACACCTGTGGCGGAAGGAAAAGAAGCAAGCAGGAACGGGTGAAGTCGTTGGTCGGGGTTCCATCGCCAGGGGACTTCAGCATATCCCTCCCTGCCCCCCGTCCCGTACTTCGGCCACTCAAGCTGGGATACCTTGGAATTGTCCCAAGTTGGTGTGAAAAAGCTGGCTCTTTATTCATCTACCTTAACCAGGCACTGAATGCTGGCTGTCCAGGAAAGGAGGCCTTAGGCAATGATACCCTCTTCCACTGGGGATCCTTCCAGGAGAGGGCTGACCGGCAGCAAGTCCATCGATCCTGCGCGGCGGTGGGGGTCTGGGTGACATCAAATAACCTAGAGCAGAGACAGCGAGTCCCGTGGCTCTCCGAGAGAAGAGCATCCCAGGCAAAGCAAACAGCACGAGCAGAGGCCCTCAGGCGGAATGAGCCAGAGCTCTCCAGGAAACAAGAAGACCAGCGCAGCCGAAGCTCAGAAAACAAGGGAGGCAGCAGCAGGAAATGGAGCCAGACAAGCGATGGGGTCTTTTGACCACGAAAACCCGCATCCTCAGGCCTCTCCACGCGGCCCGCCGCAGACTCCATTTCCCATGATGCCACGGGGCCGCGCCGGCCGGAAAACCGGGCGCCCTCCGCGGGGCATGATGGGGGAGTGGGCGATTTCCATCATGGCGGCTTCCATTTCGGGCTACACCTTCAGCGCTGTGTGTTTCCACAGCGCCAACAGCAACGCGGACCACGTAGGTGCCGGGCCCCCTGCCGCGGCCGCCGGGGGGGCTCTCAGCCTCCGCCTCAGGCCGGCGCCA